CCTGGGCCAGCGGTGCCATGTCCAGGGCCAGGCAGGCAGCACAGAGCCACAGGAAGACAGCGGTTGTGGGGGAGAGGGAAGGTGGGTGTTTTTAAACATGAGTGGTTAATAAATACCCGCCCCCCGCCCAGAAGGTGACAGCTAAGCAAAGGCCTCAAGGAGGTGAGTAAGTGGATCACATAAATTCCTGGGGCAGAGCCTCCAGGTAGAGGCAACAGTAGGTGCAAAGGCCCTGGGGCAGGAGTAGGTGAGTGGTCTTTGGCCTGAGCACACAGAGCAAGGGGGGCAGCAGGAGGCAGGGATGGAGAGGGAGAGGGAGGGGGACGTGGGGAGGGATGTGGGAGGGAGGGGGACGTCGGGTCCTGTCAGAACTGGACGGGGCTTTAGGTCTCACATGGGCAATGGGGAGCCAGTGCAGAACTGTGAACAGAGGATTGATGTTTTAAAGTAACAGTAGCTCCTGTTACCCTGTGCTTAACATTTCTAAATACAGTATTTGTTAAACATTGAACATGTATTTACCCGTTAACCCTCCCATTGCCTTTTAAAGGTGAGGAAGCCCCACAAGAGAGAGGCCTCTACCCACGAGATGCTGGCAGCACACACCCCCCCCCCCCCTCCGCCCAAGTGACAAACCAAAAATGCCTCCAGATGTTGCCTGGGGGACAGAACTGCCCGGCTGAGATCCACTGCCCGAGTGCCCTCCTCTACCCCACCTGCCACCTGCCCGGGTCAGGCTCACCCCGCTCACTGCGACGCTGTGACGGCCTCCTGAAGCCCCTGCCCCTACTCCACCCCCACGTACACCCTGCCACGCCACCCCCAGCTTACAGCCCTCTGGGGCTCCCACTGGCCTGAGGATCAATGCCGAGCCCTGATGCCTCCCCAGCTCTGCATCGTGGCCCCCTCCTGCCTGCCCTCCCTCGCTCATTCCATGTTGAGCCACCAGGCTGGCCATTTCAGACAGGGAGACACGCCCCCGGGGCCGGCCTTCACGGTGTGTCTGTCTGTCCAGGGCAGGGGAGAGCGGGTCCCATTGGCCCCCTAGCCTGGGAGCGGTGAGGACTCCAGGAAGCGCTGGGGAGCTGAGCTCTACTGAGTGGGTGGGGGCGGTCGAGGGCAGCGGGGGAGACTGGCAGTGATGGGCAGAGGCCTGAGAGGATGGGGAAGCTGTGGCTGGGTTTGGGCCCCAGCAAAGGCACTGAGAATGCAAGTGTGAAGGGGGGTGGATGGCTGAGAGCAAAGGGTTAAACGTGAGGAGGTGGCCTGAACAAGCAGGCGAGGGGGGGTGCGGTTTAGGGAGGGGCGGGGGCTTAGGGGGGCCAGGTGGTCCTGGCTTGGGGAGAGAGGTGGACAGTGGGGTCACAGTGCAGGCTGTGCCCTGGCAGGCATGGCCTGTCCCTTCCCTTCACATGTTAAATTCCCCCTCTCCCCCTCCCGCAGGCCCAAACCACAAGCCTCCTGGAGGCCCCAGGGTTCCTCCCTGCTCCTTGTCTGCAGTCTCCAAACCTGTGTTACAGCAGCAGCATCTGATTTTGTTGTTGGGTCTGTTGTTACCCTCCCCCCCCGCCCCGTCCCCATGAGAGAGGTGACGGAGCCTTGGTCTGTGGGCAGGTGAAATCAGCAGATGAGCCCCAGCTCCCGCCTGGGCCCTCGGGGTCAGGGCCGCAGGGAGAGGAAGCACCAGGGTTCAGTGGCTCCACGGTGGCCCAGCCCATCCTCCCGGGCGCATTTGCTGCACATCAGCAAGCACACACCCTGCTGGTGCCAACCACCCCTGCCGCCGCCCCCCCCAAGTCACACACACACACACACACACACACATGCACTGAAGTCCACCCCCCCCACACACACGCCAAAGTCCCCCCTCACACACACACACACACACACACACATGCACACCCCAAAGTCCCCCCTCACAAACACACACACACACACACACAGGCACACCCCAAAGTCCCCCCTCACAAACACACACACACACACACACACACACACACACACACACGCCGAAGTTGCCCGCACATGATCAGCTGCCCACTTGCCTTCAGTGAGACCTTCTGGGTCCCCCACCCAAGCTCACCCCTCTTCCTCTCCAGCCTCGGGGCAGGGGTGGGTGTTCCACTGCACAAGGTGCAAAGGTGCTCCTGGTGCTGAAGACAGTGGTGCGACCCCCCTCCCCCCGCAGCCCCGAGCCTCCCAAGGGGCCTCCCTGCTCCACTCCCCCCTCCCGCCCCCCCGCAGCCTCTTCCCCACTCAGGGGAGAGTTTTTAAAATTGATTTGAAAGAGAGAGAGAGAGAGAGAGAGAGAGAGAGAGGCATCAGTTTGCTGTTCCACTTATTGATGCCTCCACTGGTTGCTTCATGCATGTGCCCTGATGGGATGGAACCCGTAACCTTGGCCTATCAGGACGACACTCTAACCCACTGAGCTCCCGGCCAGGGCCCAAGGGAGACTTTTAGGAGGTAAACCACATGTTGTCACTTGTCACTGATAAAACAACCCCTGAAATTTCAGCTCCGCAAATTCCCAGTTCCTCCTTCCTTCCTGGCCTCCCCTCCCACTCACCCCCTTCCAGCCACACCGGTCCTCCTGGTCCTCAGCCCACCAGGTGCTCCGGCCGCAGCGCATGTGCACATGCCGAGCTCCTGCTGTTGGGCCGTGCCCACACCCCTCGCTCCCGCCCTCCCTGGCGCTCCTGCTTGCACACCCCGTCACTCCTGAAACAGCACCTGTCACTCCAACAGCTTACACTTATTATTTATCCCCCTGGAGATAATAAATGCTCAGAAACGTGAGGGCTCTTTTGTTCTGTCCGCTGCCCTATTCCTCAGCGCCTGGGATGGGAACGGGGATAGCAGATGCTTGGTAAATGCTGCTCCATGACACACAGCACTTCCCTCAACCCCAGGAGCCCGGACTCTCCCACTTCACAGAGGCAGGAACTGAGGTTCAGAGGTGTGGGGCCTGCCTGCAGCCAGCCCAGCCCCTCCCCTCTGCCTGTCTGCTCCCCATCTCATTTCCCACCTGGAAAATAGTACAGCTGGTTTGCCGCCCGCCCCCTCCCCGCCCCCCAATTTGAGCCAGTTAGAAAGAGACACCCTCACTGGGTTTCAGAGCCCTCTCACCCTGAGCACGGCAGCGCCCACCTGGCACGGACAGCAACTGTAGATGCCACCCAGTCCCCAGTCTGACCCACAGACGCGTCTGCGGTTCCCTCAAAGCCTTTCAGAAATGCAGGGCCCTCCGCGCGGTGTGAGCCTGAGCCCAGCCCTGTGTGCTCGCCCACCGTGCCCGCCGGGCCTTCCCACAGCACATCCCCAGGTCCTGTCCCCACGGCCTCGCCACCCACCCAGAGCCAGGCCCAGGACCCCTAGAGGCCGGCCAGGCCCTATGCCGGTGCCAGCTTCCTGCTCCTGCCTCGGCAGACGCCCCCATCCTGCCCCCTCCACCCCACCTTCCTCTCCGTGGGTTGTGGGAAGCGGATGGGGTGGACGCAGAGGTGGCATGGGCCTGCACTTGACAGGAAGGAGCAGAGTCCCCCTCTTTGAGCCGAGGGCCCGCCCCTCACCCCTCCTAGCCTGAGCCGAGGGGCCTGGCCTGCCCTGACCCACTGTGGTGCCGGCCTGGACCCAGGAGCCCAGGCGGGCCCCTCCCAGGGCAACCGGAAAGGGGACGAAGCTCCGTCCTGCTGTGCTCTGGGCCCCAGGGCTCCCCACCCCCTGCACAGCTGACCCCAGGTGGGGGGTGATCAGGAAGGGGAAGGAGAGGTGTCCACTGGGGTCCCTGCTGGGGAGAGCGGGGGGTCTAGCGCAACCAGCCTTCCCAACAGCCAGCTCTCTGGGGAAAGCATTAGAGCACAGGTGAGTTGTACGGCCACAGGCTGCTTCCCGCTGACTCAGGGGGCAGCCCAGACACCCGGCCTCCAGCCTCGCGGGCGGGCAGCTGAGTCAGGCAGGCAGGGCCTGGCCCGGAGGCCCAGGAGAAAGCCCCAGCCCCGTGGGCTACCTGCGCTCTCATGGTCTGGGGCTAGGAGGGGGGACCCCCTCACCGGCTGGGCTGGTCAGGGACAGGCCGGTCACTGAAGTCTCCCTACACCACCCCAAGCAGGTGCCACCACCCAACAAACAGCTGTCACCAGTCACGTGATTGAGAGAGGCCTCCATGTTCTGATATTGAACTTCAGCTCTGCAATAGGGTCAGGCTAGACGTGGGGTGGGGGTGGGGGTGCCCATGGAGCAGGCCAGACCGGTCATCATGAGAAGAGCTGGGGGCAATGTGAGTGCTCTCTCTCTCTCTCTCTCTCTCTCTCTCTCTCTCTCTCTCTCTTTCCTCAGAGCCTTGGACCAGGAAGGGAAGGGACCCTGGTCCTACCGGGAGCCACCAGCACCTCCAGACAACAGCACCTCCTGGTGTCCAAAGCAGATCCGTATGAGGTGAGCCTCCAGCTCCCGCCCACCCCCGCTGCTGGGCGGAGGGCCGGGCCTCCTGGACATCTGGACCTCCTGCCCAGCCCCCGAGGCTGGTGCTGAGCTTGGCAGTGGGCTGCCACCAGGGGCAGCGGGAGGGGCGCTCTGTATTGACCCCAGGGACCTTCACCTGCCCAGCCCAGCCCCCAAGGCAGGCCCCACGGCCCCAGGCCTGCTTTCCTGGCTTTGTCCCTGTGCTGGCGGGGCAGGAACTTCCTGCTGGAGAATTCCCGGATCCTCCCTGTGAGGCCGCAAGCCCGGCCTGGGAACTGGGGCGGGAGGGAAGTCAGGGACGTGCAGACCGGGCAGGCCCGGGCCAGGGTCCTTCCCACCCCTGCCAGGTGCACAGACCTCCTGCCCAGACGCCCAGACACGCGCTGCACCTTCCCCCCGAGCCCAGGGTGCTGCAGGCAGACTGGGGACTAGACTGACCCCCCCCCGCCCCCCTCTGACTGCTGAGCTGGTTCCGGGTGCCGATGAGCGACAGGGTCCACAGTCAACCAAGCAGGCCGGAGTCAAACTGGGCTTTATTCATAACCTCACAGCCCACGTCCGACTGTGGGACAGTCTGCTGGCAGCCGCCCTGCAGACGCATGGGCACCGTTTATCCCGGGACCCGGCCCGGAGCTCCTGGGCTGTTTCCTAAGGAGAGGGGCTGCCTCCCTGTGCAGGTCCGTCCGGGCCGGTGGGGCAGACTCGCCAGCACCCCTCACTCACTCGGAGGCCAGTGTGGAGGCCAGTTTCCCAGGGCATCCATCTCCTGGAGCAGCAGGCCCTGGGGGCAGAGCGGGCGGGAGGAAGAGGCCTCGGCATCTGGGCTCCCCTCTCCCTCCAACTCCGGGGGCGGGGGGGTTCCTTCAAAACCCCAGGAGTCCAGCACCCAGCCGGCCCTCCCGTCCTCACCTCTGCGGTGGACACCACACCAAGGGGGCTCTGCACCCTTCCCTGCAGCCTAGGGTGGGGCCTCAGCCGCCTCAGCGCCCCTCTCCCGGGGCCCCAGCACTCCCCAAAGTTGGGGGCGGCCCCCCCCTTTGGTGTCCCTGAGGGATGAGAAGGGCATGGGGTGGTGATGGGGACAGACCTCTAAACACCCACGAGAGGAAGATATTCCTGAGGCAGCTGTGTCCCCAGAGTGAGGGCTGAGCTGGGCCCCCACTTGCCACGCCCCCCAGATACTCCCAGGCCCCTCCAATGCTGCTCAGGCCACCCCAGGACTGTGAGCCCTGGGCAGGGGCAGGCAGGCTCAGGGGGTGGTGCTGGGGGGAGGAGGAGGAGGAAGAGGGAAAAGGCAAAGGCGAGGGGCCCTGCCAAGCTGACCTGCAGCCTAGGGTGGGTTGGGATGTGGTGGCTCAGCCCTGTCCCCAGAGCTCAGAGGGGTGCCTGTGAGGCGCCACGGCCTCAGGACAATGAGAAGGCTGCCCTGGGCGCCTGGCGGGCCTGTGCTCCTGTAGCCAGAGCCCTAACCCTGAGTGCCCTGTGCAGGTGACGGCCGTACACTCTTCATCGCCAACAGCCCTCTCACGGGCAGAGGCCTGAAGACCCGCCTCCCAACCCGCTGCTCGCTCTTCCTTCCTTCCTTCCTTTTTTTCAATTGATTTTTAGACAAAGAGGAAAGGAGAGGTGGGGGGGTCAATTTGTTTTTCCACTCATTGATGCATCCATTGGTTGATTCTTGTAGGTGCCCTGACCGGGGATTGAACTCGAAACCTTGTTTTATCAGGAGGATGCTCTAAGCAGCTGAGCTGCCTGGCCAGGGCCCAACCCTCTGCTCTTTCCTTTGGTAAACCACACAGACAGGGGCATGTGTCCACTGAGTGGAAGGATGAGCTGATGAATGAATAGAAATTAAGCAGAAATGACCCCAACTCATCTTTCCACAACAGAGCCATCAATGCGCCCCCAGGCCGAATGCTTAGGCTGCGGTCAAGAGTGGGCAGTGGTGGTCTGTGGTGTGACCAGCGGAGTCACTATCCGGCACCCGTGTGTGTTTGTGGGGTCAGGCATGGGTGTGAAGGGGAGAGAAATAGAAAATGAGCAACAGCATGTGAGTTACAGATGTACTAGAAGCCTTAGAGCCACGAGACAAGTCCCTCGTGTTCAGATAAGGAAACTGAGGCTCAGAGAGGGAAAAGGACCTGCCCGAGGCCACAAGCAAGTGGATGGCAAACTTAAGCCTCAAGAGTGGACATTTGGTCCTGGCCGGTTTGGCTCAGTGGGCAGAGCGTCGGCCTGTGAACTGAAGGGTCCCAGGTTCGATTCCGGTCAGGGCCCTGTGCAGTCCCTGGTCACCCTAGCCATAGCTGTCTTCATCCATCCCCAGTAGGGGGTGTGCAGGAGGCAGCCAATCGGTGATTCTCTCTCATCATGGATGTTTCTTTCCCTCTCTCTGAAATCAATAAAAATATAATAATAATAAAAAGAGTGGAGATTTGGACTCTGGGTCAAATGAGAGACAGAGAGACTGATGGGGAAGTGTGTGTGTGCAGGGGTCAGGGTCGGATTCTCAGAAATACCACCAAGAAGGGATCATGCCCCCCCTACCCAGGCAGTGGGGGGCTGGAGCCTGGGCCGGGGTCGGGGCCATGGGAGGCCTCCCGTCCGCTTTCGCCAGTGTCCTCGGGCAGCGTGGCATACCTGGTCACCCAGAATGCTCTCCAGGGTGATCTCTGACGGGACCAGTGGCTCCAGGCCCTCAAGGCTACGCATCTTCCGGAGGCGGAGGCGGGACTCCTGCTGTGCTTCCAGAAACTTCTTTAACTCTGACTCCACAAAACCTGAGAGCCAGAGAGATGGGCAAGGGACAGGCAGGAGTAGGCTGGAGCAAACTGCCGGAGGCCGAAGGAAGAGGCGGCTCTGGCTCCCATCCTGGCCCCGCAGTCCCTGGTCGCGCTGGCCATGGCGCTTTCTTCACCCACTCCCGGGAGCCAGCCACACGCCGCCGCCTGCCCAAGAAACTCGCTTCAATGGGCTCCCTCCGGCAAGCATGAGTGTGAGTCTCTACTCCCCTCCAGGCACCAACTCAAGAGCATGGATCTGGAACCATCCCAACTACCTGGGCTCAAGTCCCAGCCCTGCCACTTCCTAGCTCTGTGATCTTGGGTGAGTTACTTAACCTCTCTGTGCCTAGCTTCTCTGCTGTGAAGTGGCGCGTATAAGACCTACCTCAGAATCCAGTACATTATTTTGTGAAAAGCGCTTAGAGAAGGAGATGGCCCACAGAAATGATTATGTACAGGTTAACAATGACTCTGTATTATCACCCTCCCCCTCTCTCTCATCTGCCCTCAGGGATACCCTCTGGGGCCCTGTCACAGCAGTGCCCACCTGATGGGAAAACCAGAGCTGGAGGCGGCCACGGAACGGAATTCCGGGCGGGGATTCCCAGCCCAGTCACACCTTCACCTCGCTGCACACCCCAAGGGAGGAGGACCCTACCTAGAGGAGCGAGCCTCCCGCCCAGCCACTCTCCGGCCAACTTCCCGGGTGGCCATCTTATGTCCTATGGCACCACCTGGTGGTCAGAACTGGCATCGCACCCATGAGCCCTTAGAAAACGGGACTGCCTGGGGCGTGCAGGGAGGGGAGGTGGGCACCCCGCTTACCCACTGTGTCGATTGGCCTAAATGTCTTATGCAGTGGCGACTGGAGGGGGACTGGGACGCAGAGCTTGAATGAGCTGTCCTCTTCCTCCATTTCCTCTTCCTCCCCTTCCTCCTCGTCGTGTGAGTCTTCCTCGAGAGGCAGCTGAGGGTGTGCCGGGTCACTGAGCAGGTGAGAAGGGCCCCGGCCTGCAGCCCCGCCTCCACATGAAACAGGAAGCAGCCGGAGCAGCCCCCGAGGTGAAGGCAGGACCGAGCCTCACTCCTGGGCCCCACCCCGCCTCCCCCGGCGGCCCCAGCTCGGCCCCACAGACCTTGGCCATGGCCAGTTTCTGAAACTGCTTGTACAAGGTGAGGATGTGGTTCCAGGGAGTTGCCCCCACCTTCAGAGAAGCCGGCCTGGGGTCTCCTGTGAAGGGCAGTCACCCGACCGTCAGCTGGGTCAGCTGGCAACGGGGGTGGGCTCGGCCCAGCCGGGCAGGCACAGCTGGAGGTTGGGCTGGGGGCAGGCCGCCTGGTTTTCCTTAGCAAACACCTGCTATGCCCAGGCACAGTTCTGGGCACTTTACAAGGACATTTCATTTAGTTCTTGCAACTACCTCCTGAGGCAGGACCTATCGCACCCTCATGTTATAGAGGAGGAAACGGGCACACAGAAAGGCCGGGCAGTCTGCTGCCATCACACAGCTTGGCCCAGTGGAGTTGGGACCCCAGGCAGCCGGCCTCCAGCCTTCCCTTAGGCTGTGTCCTTCCCGGCCCAGCCCGAAAAAGAGGGCTGTTTCTGACCCCCGCCCCCGCCTGGCCCCGCCCCATTCCTGGCCCCGCCCCCGCCTGGCCCCGCCCCCGTGCCCACGCTCACCGTCCTGCAGCTGCTGCTCCTCCACAGCAAGGGCCTCAGGGCTGACCTCCAGTGGCCCCGTGGCCCCCTGCTCCACCTCCAGGGCTTGGGCAAAGTGGCCCCTGATCCCAAAGCAGAGTCAGGTGGGGGTGGCAGGCGGGGCCCAGAGACTTGGTAAAGGCCCCGGACACCCCCACGTCCCCCAAGGCTCTCCCACAAGCCCTACTCAGCCCCTCCATCCTCCTGCTCCCAGCTCCCCGCTGGGCCCTCTGGGGCTTCATCCTGGAGGCGGGAGGGGGGCGGGGGACCAGGAGGGAGAGAGTGGGGGGGCAGGTGGAGTGGGAACGGTGGCACCGCCTCACCCCGCAGGCGCCTTTCCGGCCCCAGCAGGACTCCTTCCCTCTGGAGCCCGCATCCCCAACCCTCACTTGTGGGAGGACCCTCATCTCTGCTTCCTTCCACACCCCCAACACACCCCTCTGGTGCCTCCTCACCCTGATGTTGTCCGTCCTGCCCACCCAGGTGCCCTGTCCAGTCCTCGACCCTCCAAGACTCCCAGTCCTGGCACCCCCCCCCCCCCCGCTTCCATCCAGGCCTTGTCCCAATTCCTCTGCCCCAGGCCCCTTCCCACCACCACAGCCCAGCCCCTCACCTGTCTGGGGCCCCTGCTGCCTCCTCCTCCTCCTCTTCCCTCTGCACCTTCTCAGAAAGGTTGCCCAAGGACTCCTGGGATTCTTCTGGGCAGCACCCACTTTACCTCTACACCCGGGGCCATGAAGCTCAAGAACTTCATGGAGGGGGTGGTCTGGGCCCTCATGCCCCCCAGCCCCGAGGGATCACGCTGTGGTAAGGCCTCAGAAGGGGTGCGGTGCCCCTGGGCCGGCCGCCTGGGCTCCTTCCTCCCCACTCGCCCCTGGCGGTCCATCATCAAGGACCCAGGGCGCGCCTCATCTCCCAGCGGGGTCCCCTCGGAGCTCTTCCGGCCGGCCGTGCTCCTCCACCAGGAAGAAGCGGGAGCATGGAGGAACGTTCCAAATTTTCGAGACCGACCGGTGGAGCTGGGCTCGCCATCCTGATAGGGAACCCTGATTCCGATGGAGGGGCCTGTAGCACCTCCCAGGAACCAACTGCTTAATGACTGGAGGAACTTTCAAATAAAAGCTCCTAGGAGTTTCTAAAAGCGCAAAGGGCAAACAAGGCGGAAGGCGGGAA